TTCCTGCTGCTTTTGACGTACTGTCACTTCCTCTACAGCAGGATAGTTTTCTATTCATTTTAAAAACTGGTCTGTATTTGATGAATGATGTCTCCTCCTTTATGAGTCCTGAGGAATTGTTAAACTCATTAACTACCACTTGCCAGGATATATTGGATTCTATTGCCCTCCTTCGATGCAGACCAGCCAAGATGCAAGCAGTGCCTTGGCTAAACGACTCTACTCGGGAACTTAGACAAAGATGTCGGCAAGCTGAACGCAAATGGAAGAAGGATAAACTTCATGTTTCTCTCCACCATTTCTGGGATTGACTATCAGAAGGCTGTAAAATCTGCCAAATCGAGCTACCTTTCCAACATTGTCACCAGTAATTGTCATAAACCTCAGGTCTTGTTTAGTACAGTTAACTCTGTTATCAACCCGTGTAATCTTGCTTCTCATCCCGAGGCATCAGTAGCAGTATGTGAGGGTTTTCTTCAATATTTTACTGATAAAATCACTAGTGTTAGGCAGTCCTCCAGTTCTACTAATCCTGACCCAGCTGATATTCCTCTGCATTCTGCTGTCTTTGATCAGTTTGAGCCTGTATCTTCGCCTATGCTATCTGAACTGGTTCACCACATGAAAGCATCTCACTGTTCTTTGGATTGTATGCCAGCTAGACTGTTTAAGGATGTTTTTGACTCTGTTGGGCCTAGCTTTATGGCTCTAATTAATTTATGTTTAAGGACAGGCTCAGTTCCAGATGCTTTTAAAAAAGTGATTGTCCAGCCTCTTCTCAAAAAGCCAAATTTTGATCCTTTAATGTTTTCTAATTTTAGGCCAGTGTCTAAATGATCTTTTATGTCTAAAGTTCTGGAGAAGATTGTTTTTATCCATCACCAGTCTTTTTTGACAGATAATGGCATTGAGGAGCAATTTCAATCTGGTTTTAAATCAAAACAGTACTGAGTCTGCGTTAGTAAAAATCAGTAATGATATCGTGTTGGTTAGGGATTCGGTTTTATTGGTGCTTTTAGATCTCACTGCTGCCTTCGATACAGTGGATCATGGAATCCTCCTGTCTCGTTTGGAGTAGTGCGTAAGAATTCAAGGTACTGTTCTTAACTGGTTCCGATCTTCTCCCACCAATAGAAGTTTTACTGTTAATATTGGTACCTGTTCATCATCCTCAACTATCATTTGCTGTGGGGTCCCCCAAGGATCTGTGCTTGCTCCCATTTTGTTCTCATTGTACATGCTCCCACTGGGATCTATTTTAAGGAAATATGGCCTTTCTTTTCATTGTTATGCTGACGACATTCAGATTTACTTAACATTGAAGGTAACAAGAGGGATGTCATTAAAGCCGTTGTTTGACCGTCTGACAGACTTGAAATCATGGTTGGCACTTAACTTTTTAAATCTTAACGAAAATAAAACTGAATGTGTGCTATTTGGTTACCTGGCGAACCTAACTGCCTCTAATCAGGGCCTGGGCCCCCTAGCTCGACACCTGAAGTCGACTGTAAAAAATCTAGGGGTGATGTATGTTGGGGACTTGACGTTTGACAAGCAGATCAACTCAGTTGTGAAATCTAGCTTCTTCCACCTGAGGCTGTTGAGCAAGGTCAAGTCATTCCTTTCTTTTAATTATTTGGAGATTGCAGTTCATGCTTTTATCACTTCTAGACTTGATTATTGCCATGCTCTATACTATGGTGTTAACCAGTCCTCCCTCACTCGTCTCCAAATGGTGCAAAATGCTGCTACTCGTCTTTTGACAAGTACTAGGAAATTCGAGCATATAACCCCGGTACTGGCTTCTCTCCACTGGCTTCCAGTCTGTTTTAGAAATGATTTTTGTTTTTAAGGCTCTTAATGGTTTGGCACCATTTTACCTCACTGAACTTTTGCACTGGCACAAACCTACAAGGTCCCTCAGATCTTCAAGCCAGTTTCTTTTAGAGGTTCCTAGGGTCAGACATAAACGCTGGGGTGACCGTGATTTTACTGTTGCAGCCCCTAAATTATGGAATAGTCTACCTTTTAATGTTAGGTCAGCTACTGACCTTAGTACTTTTAAATCATTGCTTAAAACATATTTATTTGGCTTGGCTTTTAATACACAGTAGGGCTTGATGCATTCCTTTTAACTCCTTTTAATTTAATTTTTAATTTATTGAACATATGTTGTGTGTCTGTGTTATTTTTATTTGCACTGATCTTATTTACTTTATTTTAGTCATTTATTGTGATTTTATTTTCCCATGTAAAGTACTTTGGTCAGCTGGATGTTGTTTTAAAATGCTATATAAATAAATCTGATCTGATCTGATCTGATCTGCCGGGGGCAATGGGGGGTTCAGTGTCTTGCCCAAGGACACTTTAACTTGTGGACTGCAGGCACTGAGATTTGAACTTTCAACCTTCCGGTTGGGAGACAACTGCTCTACCCACCGCACTGTTGCCTCCCCCAAATTTTTTAAAATAATAATAATCACCTTTATTTGGCCAAGTATGTTACACAGAAGGAATTTGTTTTCAGTACAGAACCGAGGCAGCCATCTGCAGTGCCAACTCAACCGATGGCTTTGACCATCGGGGACAACTTGGGGCTTTAGTGTCTTGCTCAAGGACACTTTGACATGCGGACTGCAGGCACCGAGATTCAAACTCCCGACCCTCCGGTTGGGAGACGACTGCTCTACCCACTGAATCACAGTCATCCCCCTGTTTATACTTTCAGTTTGCACATGCATAATTGCACACTCACTGCTGACTATTGCACATAAAGGTCCAATGTAGCATACATTCTCTTATTATAGATTTTTTGTATCTTTATTAGATCTCTTCATTTGTTGCTTTAAAGTGCCTTAGATAAGAAGATCACCTGCAGACACCATGGCATTTCCATTAGGGTGTGGCTTAGTAATGCCAGTATAAAGAGTGGCTGAAGGCAGGGTGGGTAAACTATTTTAACGATCTGGTTAGTGGGTTTTCAAACTAAAAGCTGTGGGATTGATCCGAACATATGACAAGCTTATAAATAAAAGTAATACACTAATCGCTGTGTGGATTCATCAGACAAGCCATCCAAGTTTTCATGCTAAGGTAAGAGTATATGGACTGCTCTATGTAAGCTAGCTGTGCAACAGGACAGGTGACAGCTTTCTTTTGTGATAACTATAGCACACGTAAACTGTATAAAAGATGTAGTGTTATAAAGAGTGATAATTAACTAAGTGCTAGAAAACTACTTTACATCGGGCCTGATAACGCTAAAAAGAACTGGCAGGGGAGTGAATGTAGAGCAGGGAATAAATAGGGAGAACTAATCAGGTGCAGCTGGTGGTAATCAGGGGATATGAAGCAGGTGTGTCGGATAACGTAATCAAGGTAAGGGAACAAAAACAGAGTGAGGGGAGTGAGAAAGGCAGGTGCAGCCCGGGCAAACCTGACACTAAGTGCTAGAAAACTACTTTACATCACTTTAATATCCAGACTCATTGAATTAATAGAACTGAATCAGACATAATGTTTTATAAACAAGAAATAATATTTTATAATTACAAATTGCAGCACACCTTTTAGATAAATGTTTGTCTTAAGTTTTGCCTTTGACACACCTATTCATGTTTATATATATAAGGAATGGGTACATAAATACAAAGGTGTGGTGTTCAGTGAGTGTTTTCACTGTAGCCTAATTTCGCCAGCAGTAGCAACACTGTGCAGATGGTGACAGCTGGATTAAGGGCTGATGACATCAGTTTTCCTCTTTGCTGCCTTTAAACTGATTGTGTAATGAAATTCATTCAAAATCATTCAAAACTCATTTAAAGGCATGTATTTTTCATATCACCTCACAATTATATAATGATGTATCTTTATAATTTTAATGAAGACATTATGGTTAGAGGAATATTCTACAGTGGGAATTGTATCAGTATGATAGGTAGCTCCTGAGTTGGAGGTTGTGTGTCTTTGAAAAGCAGGTGGTTTCTGTTTTGGTAAGAGAGTAATACTCTGGATGGGAGGAGGTATGAGCAGTTAACACGCATCTATATCTAAGAGAGGCTTGGTTTCATACGTATGTATGTTGACTATAAAAACAGTATGTAGTATGCAAACGTGTAGAAATATGTTATACATTAGTGTGTATTCTTTCACTCAATATTGTGTGTTTATTCATTGTTTGAGAAGTGTGTCCTTGATGAGGTGATTTAAGCTTATACCGGAAAGGGACAAATACTGTCGGTCATTATGAACTTTTGGAGCTTTTCTGTCTAGGCTCCAAGAACATCTAGTTACAAAAACATGTTTGAGTAGAAGGTTGAGATGCATTTTTGATAAGCACGTGTGCCATGGTACATGATACTTTGTAAGACATACACATTGCAATTGGGTAAAGATGAACAGAAACCAGACACACACACACAGGGGTGAGAAAAAGTAAATAGGGTTGGTAGCAGAATCCTAAAGAACCAAATGGGTCCATGTATGGTAATGACTAGACAATGACGACAGGGTGTGGACAGTAAAGGTATAAAAGAATTGTAACTATGTAATTTTCTTCAATTGTGTTGATGAACCAACTCCAGAACTTTTACATATATTAAAGTGGTCTTTGCTCTCTGAGCAAACACCTGCATAAACTTGCAGTATGCAAGTCTGACCTTCCCACTGCATCTCACTGCACTGCATTTATATCACCTTGCCAGGCTTCCTACAGTGCATGTATGGACATAAAAAAGTGTGATAAAAGCCAGTTATTCATGACAACTCAGGGTGTAAATGGTTATATGGGTTTAATGAATTGAACCTGGTCATAGCAGTCTCATTTTTTCCCCTTCTGTCTTAGCGCCCATCGGAGCCCATGAAGGAGAGACATTCCACAGAACTGAGGCTAGAACGGGAAATCCCAGTGGTATTAATCACAGTTATTGCTTAGAGAATTGGGGCAAAGGAATGGCTCTGAAGACATCTCCTTTTCCAAATGGGTTTGCTGCAGGCATCCATGCTGTGGGATGGGTCTTCATCCTGCCTTGTTTCTGGTGTCTTAACCACCTTCTTGCTGTGTGCCATCCCACCACTCAGGAGCAAACCCAGCAACTCGAGCAAGAATGCTACCTCTACCCCCTCAAGGCCTTTTTTGGCTCCATTATCTTATTCATTCTTTTTCTCACTACAGCCCCTTTGGCCTTCCTGGGCTTTCTGCTCTGGGCTCCAGTTCAGGCCTACCGCAGACCCTTTTGCTACTACAGAGCGATGCAATCCTCACCAGAGAAGGAGACACACAGGGGCTTTGAGCTTGTAGGAAAGGCATCATTTGGCTTTGTAACAGCCAACGTGTGTCTTTTGCCTGAAGCCATAGCTCGCTTTAACAACATAGGGCACACCCGGCGGAGGGCGGCTGCTATTGGTCAGCACATTGTGCAGGGTGTGTGTCGACCTGATATCCAAATCTTTGTTGATTCCCCCAGCAGCTGTGGTACGCTCAGCCCCTCCAGCAGTATATTTCCTGTAGCTAACTCATACACATATGGTGCTACGGATAGACAGGCTCAGCCCCTAGAGAATCATTATTTGGATTCATCTACAGGAAATGTTGCAATGCCATGTGATGTTACAGAAGAGTCCTGGGCCGAGTCACCTTCTGTCCTCCTCAGTTCCAATCAGAACCCGAACCAGCAGGGCCAAATGGTTCACCGGAGTGCCCACCGAGCTTTGCTCTCCCAGGGTCTCCACCAGCAGGATGATGTACCCTGGGAAGTGTCGTCAATGTTTCCAGCCAGTGTGGACATAGTGTGCCTGGAGGAGGTGTTTGATAAGGGGGCTGCACAGAAACTCATCCAAGCATTAAGACCTGTGTTTGGACACATACTGTATGATGTTGGTGTGTATGCCTGCTACCCACCATGCAGATGTTCCTCTTTCAAGTTCATGAACAGTGGGTTGTTCCTAGCCAGCCGATTCCCAGTGCTTGAGGCCCGGTACTGCTGCTTTCCCAACTGTTGTTGGGAAGATGCGCTAGCTGCTAAAGGCCTCCTTTCTGCCAAGGTACCTTGTATTAGACCAGTATCAGTTTCTAGTTTTGTCTTTTTTTATTTTTCAGTAATTAGTCAACATTTTGTAATACTAAAATTATGTAATAGTTGTTTTTGATATTCTCAGGTACTAATTGGGCAGAATCAGAA